CGAACCGAACACTGATTTTGGTAATAAAATTCAATGATTTGCAAGCGTTGCTCGTTAGTAAGTCTATTCATGATGAAATGTCAAAGCATACTGAGCATCTTTCTCTTTGACACCATGTCTGAAATCCCACGTGATCTGTCAAATACTAATGCATGAAAATCCTAACCTCAAAAAAATCACCCGTTATTTAGTGAAACAAATCGTAAACTAGTTGTTTAAAGCTTTAGGAGAAATATCTGATTAACAGCTTAGGAGATAGCACTCGACAATTTAATATCAGCGGTTGCCACTAATTCTTTATTTTTTCATTTATTAGAGTTCCGATAGTTCATATATATGTAATAATTTGCTGCTGCCACTTCATAATAATTTTTCATAGCCAAGTAAACTTTCGGTGAGGAGTAAACTCTACGTCATCAGTAATATAAATGAAGTGAAACTTTTGCCAACGCCAGCAAGGATAATGAAAAAACAAATAAAAAAAAATAGAAAACAATTATGAAAAAAATGCAACAATATTGCAAATGAAATAAATTTTTTCAACGGCCAGCGTAAGTTTCACAATTTACAAATTGCTTTTAAATGGGCTGTAAAAAAGTTTTAATGAGTTTTCGACGGACGCTGGAGAGCGAGTGGACTTAAACAGCGCTCGGTGCTCAACACCTACATATGTATGACATAGATACTTTTGTATGTATTAGTATGCTTTAAAAAAAACTGCATAAATATGAGAAATTTTAACAAAACAAAACCAGATTATGGCGCGGGTATTGCTGCCATACTCATAATATACAATTTCAACAAAGTTTGAAGGAAATTGAACTACAAAATAGAAACCGAATAAAAAGCAAAAGTACAAGTAAAACAAAAAAAATGTATATAAACATAGGCTCACGCCATAGTAATGTAAAAAATCTTCCATATAATTACATACATACATACATACACCCTCACGCCGCGCATTTGCATTGTGTACTTGCCGAAGTGGAAAGTCATCGAGGCAAGCTAGAAAAACTCCAAGTAAATGGCAACAAACATTACAATGAAAATAAATTTATTGAAACAAACAAAAACAAATGCGCAATAAAAACATAAACAAGAAAGTAAAAAAGTAAAAAAAAATAATAATGAAAATAATAACAACATCATTATCGACTAAATGAAAATGGGTGGCGCAAGTTCAAGTCGAAAAGTTTTCCAATGGGCAACGGGCGAAATTAAGTGTCGCATAATGAAATTGACACAGCGAAAAAAACAGAAAACAAAAACAAGAAGAAACACGAAAAATAAATCGGTAAATGGAATTGCTTGCAAAGTAGCGTAGTGGACCTTACAGCAGAGGCGTTCACCCTCTACAAACAATTGCGCCAAAATATTGCAGTAGGAAATTAATTTAGCCCCCGCCCATTCACTTTCCTTCGTCTCTCAGTGCTCAGCCTCAGCGAATTTCACATGAAAGTGTGTTTGACTTGCCTTTCTTGCAGAGTTTTTGATTTTTTGTTTTTACTTTTTTCTTTGTGAGGAAGTGTTATTTAATGACTTTTGTTGTTGGTGTATTGACTTGTTTACAAATAATGCAATATTTAATATAATTTTCTGCAATTGCTGTAGCTA